GACAGTGTGTGACTGCAATAAAGAAGGCCAATGCTATGCTCGGGATTATTAGGAAGGGTATTGAAAACAGATCAGCCAATATCATAATGCCCCTATATAAATCAATGGTGCAACCTCATTTGGAATACTGTGTGCAGTTCTGGTCACCACACCTTAAAAAGGATATTATAGCTTTGGAAAAAGTGCAGAAAAGGGCAACTCGAATGATAAAGGAGTTGGAACACTTTCCCTATGAGGAAAGGTTAAAGCGCTTAGGGCTCTTTAGCTTGGAGAAACAATGACTGAGGGGTGACATGATTGAGGTTTATAAGATTATGCATGGGATAGAACAAGTAGAGAAAGAGGTACTTTTCTCCCTTTCTCACAATACAAGAACTCGTGGGCACTCCATGAAATTGCTGAGCGGTCAGGTTAGAACGGATAAAAGGAAGTACTTCTTCACCCAAAGAGTGATTTACACATGGAATTGACTGCCACAGGAAGTGGTGGCGGCTATAAGCATGGACGGCTTCAAAAGGGAATTAGATGAGCATATGGAGCAGAGGTCCATCAGTGGCTATTAGCCACAAGGTATAGATATGGGGTCTGGGGGAAATGATGCTCTGTCTTTTTTGGGCTTGGGGGGGGGGGTCAACAGTGGGAGGGCTTCTAATGTCCTGGCTCCACTGGTGGACCTCCTGATGGCACCTGGTATTTCTGGCCACTGTGTGACACAGAGTGTTGGACTGGATGGGCCTTTGGCCTGATCCAACATTGCCGTCTCTTATGTTCTTAAACATGGCACCTGCACGTGGAGGAAGCGTCTGTATGTAACTGCCTCCCTGAGATCAGTGACACTGCTTTCTGAATGTTGCTGATCAGTGACACTACTTTCTGATCATGGGGAGGGAACATTTGTGCAAATGCTTCCTCTGTGCATAGTCGCTATGCTCATAAGCCAGTGACTGCACGGAGGTGTGGGTCAGGGCCAGCACGTTCATGCCCACACTCTGTCCCTGAGCAGTCAGCCAACACTCAGACTAGTCTGTACAGGGCTACTTTGTGTGTTCTCACATTGCTACTTGGGAATTGTAGTTTGATCCAGTTAACCTCTGAGCATGTGCCAAGTCAACATGAAGAATTGCTGCAGGCTGCACAGGTCCGAAAACAGAACACACTCTTGAAATGTCGTTGATTTTAAATGATGCCTGTAATAACCCAAGCCTGTAATAACCCAAGGATGCGCACAATCTCAGACGTCCTGTGCATTGTGAGCATGGGACACCAGTGGCTATGCAGTCAGCTGCTATGCTGAGTGCTGCCAACTGCAAAGAAGCATGCCCCAGTCAGAATGTTGCTTGTTTTAAATCTGTGAACAAACAGTCAGTACAAGAGTATGGGTGCTCTACTGGAAAGAAAACAAATATTGAGAATACAGTATGTTCAACTTTTGAATATCCTCCACCCACAAAGACTGCAGCATCACTAGCGGCAACACACATACACCTGTGGGCCTCCCCCTCTGCAGGGTATGGACCCCCTGCCCAATCCTTACCTGAGCCAGGACAACTTCGTGCTGACAATTCCTAAGAGATGCAATTGTCCATGAAGTTTTGTTTTAAGCTCAAGAAGACTGTTGTTATGCCCATCTCATACACAAAGGTGAACAGACCGCAGGAAAGAAATAATCTTGACACAGCCATATGTACACATCAAAATCGCTTCTTTGCGGGCTTTTATCGATGAACATGTGGACGTTGACAAAGTGGGAGGAGGATGCCAAGGAACAGACAGCTGTGACCAGCTGCACATGTGTGATGCTCTGTCCCAGATTAAAAAATGGGAAAAAAATGGAACAATGAGGGACTCCTAATGCATCAGCTCCACTTTGGAAGCAATAGTGCATAATTCCAAAATCCAGGGAAACGCTTAGATGAGAAGCTACTTACAAGGAAAGCTGACCCTGTTTGAGCTGTCCTTGGACTCAGCACTCATTTGGGAAAGTGGGAAGCCACAAAGTGATCCAGAATTTGTGAACATGCTACCTAGACTTACAGCCTGGAAACAATTAATCAAGGAGACTTACAAATCCATCCAAAAACACAGTCCTGGAGTGCCAAAGGTGCAATTTATTTACAAAAACCAGCAGTGCAGGTAACACCGGATGAGGCTCCCCCAGTCCCTTCCTATACACAGAAAGACATG